CTCCAGTTATCAGAAACTTGGGAAAATTTTTCAATTCGTTGTGTGTGTTGTTATAGGAGTTAAGAAAATTTTACGAAAATTGTAACATCAACATCTATTTATACTGAACGTTCCATTTTTAGCGAACTTTTGAGAATCTTGAAAGTTTTTGGAAATTTCTGTGCTTCAAAATTTTCCCAGTTACACAATTGCCATTTTTTGAAATTAATTCAATGATTTTAGTAAGTCGGTATTTTCCCCTCTCCTAATAAAAAGAATCGGATTTTGGCTAGAGACATGACTACATGACCGGCCGATTGCTGGTCTCTCTTTTATTGATTTTTCTGAATATCCTGATGGATTGAAGGACCCAAAAGGGCCCATCGCAGAGCAATTGAAAGTTGAGAGTTCGTTCGCAGCCATGAAGCTCGACAAATGCTCTGGCAAGGAAGAGTTCGAAGATTAACCGTTCGTGCTCACCGCTACAACGCAAACCGAGCAGGATTTCCCACTCTACGGATGTGTTTTCAATCCATATACGAAACCCGAAATAAAGGACCGTTAGAACCTCCAACGGAGCCAAAACACCAATGTCCGACCCACCATTCAATGACGCATAACCCAAACATCCACAGCATCAATTGGAACGTCGGACCAGCCATAATTAGATGGAGGAAAGTAGAAGCATTCTGATTTTTGATGACAGTTTCTGTTGCTTGACCAATCAGCGATGTTCCGTCAATGGACAAGCAGATGGAGGAATTTCCAGAAAATTCCAACATTGAGTTCTCTGGAAATGCTCACAACGCCATGGACAGTTTTGGCTAAAGTCACCAAGAGAATTCTCGACGATGGTAATTGAAGTTTTATGAACCGAACCCCCCAAAAGTCTTCTTTAAGACTACAAATTTGATTTAAAATCCAGAATATTTAAATTGGAATAAAGTTATGATCTATTTTATAATTTTCAACCCATTTTTGGAGCATTTTGGCTCAGAATGCCCCAAAAACCAAGAAAATCGAGAAATTTTGAGCCAATATATTCGAGCATTGGAGGATAACGTTTTGATTTTTTTGTGAGGTTTGGGTTCGAAATGTTATCAATTTGTTTTAAAATTCAAGGTTTTTGGGGTATTCTACTCAAAAAATTGATTAAAAATTATGAATTGGACAACGTTATCTAATACATTAGGTCACTACTTTAGGTAACGCTCACATTGAGCTCAAACATCTCAGATCCTATGAGAGATATCAAAATTTTGTCAACTGATAAAATGTAGGTGATATTATGCTTAACATTTTATCAGTTGACAGTTTTTTTGGTATATTTCATGAGAGCTAAGATAATTGAGTTCAAAGCAAAAGCGCCAATTTCGATTGGGCGCACTTCGTGTGCTGGTGGCGCTTTTTTCGTTTTTTGGTGTAGTGCACTTTGAGCTCAATTATCTCGGTTCCTATGGAAGATATCAAAATTTTGTTAACTGAGAAAATGTAGTTGATATTGTGCTTAACATTTTATCAATTGACCACTTTTTGATATCTCTTGCACAAGCCGAGATAATTGGGTTTGAGTGCCAGTTAAAGTGCTCCAAGCCGATTTTGGCGCTCATACTTTGACCTTAATTATCTTGGTTTTTGTAAAAGATATCAAAAAGTGGTCAACTAATAAAATGTTACTGATACTATGATAAACATTTTATTAGTTGATCACTTTTCGATGTCTTTTATGGGAACTGAGATCAATGGGCTCAAAGTCTGAGCGTCAATACCGGCTTGTGACACTTTGCGAGACGCTCACTTTGACGCAATTTATCTTGGTTTCTGTAAAAGATATAAAAGATATATTATGGGTAGTTTCTTGGGAAAAGTATGATTGAATGGAGCGGATGGCAAAAAGAGATTACACAAGCATGAACAAAGATGCAGTCGCTTGCTATTCTTACCTTAAAAAGATTGATAAGTTTTGAAGTGTCGAAACTGATAGATGGAAATCGGAACTGTGTCGTTTTCGTGTATGATGAACATTAATGAACTCTTTGAAATATCTATTTCCATCAAAAATGTAATTTTTATGTTAATGTATTTTAAATAGTATTAATAAAAAACATTCCAAAAGAAGGTCACACTATATTTGCACTTCGAGCTTAATTATCTCATATTCTATCCAAGATACCGAAAATCTGTCAACTGATGAAATGTTGGTCTTATTATCCCAAATATTTTATCAGTTGACAAATTTTTGCTCTCTTTTATAGAAATTTAGATAATTGAGTTCGAAGAAAGTTGACAATATTTTAACTTAGAAAAGAAGTAAATTCAGAAAATGTTCTCTGTAACACCGGTCTGGCTTTCTGCCTACAAAAACAAAAATCAGGAAGACACCCAAGATTGATGGGCATAATAATGGAATAATGAGAAACAATGTGATTGTATGTCCTTAAGGAACTGTGAGTAGAAGTAGGGGAGGGAAAGATGAGGAAAAAAAAGGTTGGAAAGAGGGCAGAGCAGAAGGAGAAGGAGAAGGACCTCACCACGTCATTAGGCGCACCAGCCTTTTATGTGCTTTATCGCTGTTGCCATCGGCAGGGCAGATAAAGAAGGTACTGTGGTCAAGGTAATTATCTTTACTCTAGTAGACCTTTAGTTAGGATTGACAGGTAGTGAAGCTGAAACAACACGACAGATGAATAAAAAGGAATGGTGGAGCTCAGGACACTACGAACTCTTCGGCAGACAAGATACGACGTTTATCAGAAAAATGGCCCATTGGCTCAAACGGTATGTCGGTTTTTTTTTCCCAATAAATAAATAAAAATTCCACTAAATATACATTTTATTTTTACTGAAAAAATTACCATTGAAAAAAGGGCAGTATGAAAAATGAGAAAACTAAGAAAACAGTCAGTGTTCAATGACGATGAATGTTAACAAGAAAAATAGTGGTCGGTAAAAAATTGGTAAAAAATAAAAAATAATTTGATGAGACAATTATGCTAATATAGACAAAACAATAACGTTTGGAAGAAATCAAGATTCAATGAAGTGATTAGAAAAAAAGATTTTAGAACTGCTATGTCAACTAAAGCGGAAGATGAACTGAAAATTATTAGACCTAGAAGGGAAAATGAGAAATATTGACTTAAGATTTACAAAATTGACCACGAGTATTCAACAATATTATGTTTCGTGGCTGGGAGAAGGGCTGATTGACGAAGATGGCTCTCTCGAAGAAGAAGTTGAAAAGTCTTGCCTGAAAAATATAATTATCACATGTTTACATATTGAAAAGAAAAAATCAATAAAACAAACCCTGGTCTGTTGGAGATAAGTTGCATTTGTTGATAAATATCTTCTGGCCTTTCATAGGCGTCGAGCATCTTCTTTCTTAGAATAACTGGGCAGCTGTCCTTATGTCGTCGAAGTCTCAAATGCGAAGGAACGGCTTAAAGCATCCATCACATTGGTTCCTCACTGGTGCTTCAAGTTGTGAGACTGCTTCTTCCTGAGCATTCTTTGGGACACTTCCGCTATTCAGCGGGGACTGGAACACTCGGACGGGCATTTCGACAGGGCGGTCTCGAGAAGATTTGGCTTTTGATTCTTCCATCGGATACTGCATTACTTTGTGGTGTCAAGGCTTCCGGTTCATTTCTTATTTCTTCTTGGAGTAATTGAGACATCCTAGGGCTCCAATTATAGAAGATTGGTTCCAGCACAACTTGATTGTTTCTTATCGGTCCGTGACGAGAAGAACTGAATAGCTGAGTATCAGGGATATTCTGATCAATCATTTGGAGAGTGTCCGTTTCTTTGGCTTTGCATTTTTCCAAATGCGGTTTCAAAGTGTGTTTAGAATAAAACACTTTTTCGCAATTTAAACATGTTGCATTTTTTGGCTTCCATGTTTGAACTCTTCTTTTCTTGTTTCCCGGCGCAGGCTGTTCGGAAGGTTGAGGAAATGTAGTTCAAAATTCGCCATTATATAATACAATGAGAACTTTGACAATTCTTCCACAGGATTGGATGTTTTCCACTGAACTACCACTTCTTCATTCTGGGAGCATCACTTTTTGAATCCGAATAGATAGACTTCGGAATCCGATCGGGATTTTCGTGGTCCATAAGATCATCCACCAGTTCAACAAGACCAACTTCTCTTTTGTGGCAAATGTCTAATCCAATTTGAAGGAGAGCTTTGGATTGGTCCTTCCATCTGATGTTGTCCACTCCTTTGGGGCTCCTAGCGGTTCTTCAGATCCATTGGGTCCATTGAGATACTCAGAAAAATCAATAAAAGAGAGACCAGCAATCGGCCGGTCATGTAGTCATGTCTCTAGCCAATATCCAGATTTCTTATATAGAGAGGGTCCGGTGCTTCTAATTCCATTTCAAAATCTACATTGGAAGTATCTTCGAGTGTTGCCATCTCTTTGACTGCATACGGAACATCATCTTCACCAACCCTTCTTTCCTGACTGCCTGAAAGTTCGTTGTACAATGATGCAATGATGATGGACAACAATTAATCTTACTTGTATCATTGCTTCCCATTCCATGAAATGGTCGAACTTCCTTATGTGTCGTACGAGGCATGATTTAATCTGATAAAGTTTATCCTTCACACATTATCTTTATAGTTTCACCACTAGAGCTACATCTTACTGTACTAGTTATCGATATTCAATTTTCTCGATGAAAATTGAATAGAAATTTGCATTTTCCAGCAATAAAAAAGTAGTTAACTCACTCACCATAAAATAATACACTTAAAAATTTCAATAAAAATCAGAAAAATATAAAATAGAACCAGAAAGAATTTAAAGAAATAAAA